GCCATTAGATTATTCGAAAATTTTCAACATAAATGAACGTTATCTTTGTGAGATATTGAACTTTAAAAATGACCCTTGTATTTTAGCAAATAATTGAAAAATCGAGATTATTTGAGATTATAATATCTCGTGAAGAGAACATTTGTTTTTACTGAAAACTTTAGAATAATCTAATGGCCACTTGATCTATCTGCAAACAAAGTTTCAGCTCTAAATCACGTTATTTCATTTCTGTATCGGTAGCTACGCACAAGGACAAAAACATCAATAAAACAGTCATAGCTCGAAAAGAGGAGGTCAGAAACCTAAACCCTTTTAGAATTTTTCTAGTCTCACTAAGGCCTACATATTGGCAAAATATCACGTCAAAAACGGAGCTTCACCAGGGAAGTCTTCTCGTAAGTAAAAGATCATGAAAAAATGGATCCCAAGATAGATTGAATAAAATAATATTCTCATAATTAGTAACAACAGCTAAATCATGTTTCACATGTTAATCCCACAGGGATTGCGCTAACAGCTTTTTCTCAATAGTATTTGGAACTATCCATCGTTGTACTGGTTTTCTTCATTAAGATAAAACTTTTTATTTCAGTGTATTACAGTAATGAATGAAGTTTTCTTTTTGGCCTTTCTCCAGTTTTAATTTGTACGAAAATTCTTACCGGATGGTATGTTAGTTGAAAGGACAGAAAACTGGAGTACTGAACCATTATATTTCGGCATGGACACCATAATGCACCTGAATAGGCAGCTTCGAGACGATTAAACATGTCAATTGATGGATTTTGTACACTGATTGAGACATTTTTTCTGCTGGAAGAAGTAAAGAGCACAAGGATGAATATGCATGTAATCAAGAGAATCAAATAGATTCGTGTTGTCAGAAGTTGATTGCGTAATGTCTGATGATTATTTTCGTTTTGCTGATTTGGCTCAATAAATAAATTGAGCTGAGCTGTTTTTTGAAGTAAATATCGAATGGCTTTCATCGATCTAGTCGAGAAATAAAAATGACTTTCACAAGTAATTAGATGGAAATTCTTTGACTTACTAACTGTTTTGAATTGTTTGTTGAGAATAACACTGTTTTATGTGAGACTCACAAGTTCCTCAATTTTGATGAATCAAAAAAAAGTAAAAAAAACATGACAATTCACCCACGTATCTGATATAACGTTCATTTCAATCGACTGAGGTTATTTTTGGCTCCTAGAGAACTATTTAATTTCTTTATTTTACGTTTCAGTTATCATCATTATCAAGAAAGTCATAAAAATGTTTCTTTTATAAGAAACAACATTCTCAAAGAATAATGAATGCAACATATATTAACTACGCAATATGGGACAGAAAATGCATAAATGGCTATAAAAGATGGCATTCAAGAGCTGAACTACGTGGAAAAAGCAATATCTGCTTATTTATCAGAAGAGATAACAAAAAGTCAGTTCAACCTAAAGAACTTTGTTTTGTGTAGATAACCAGATGACTGAGAGATCAAACAGGAATCTTTGTTCATTTCGCTGTGTCTAGTGTATACACACTCACCCTCACCTTTTTATTTCGTCTTTTTTCTAAACTTTTTCTAAAATCGGTAGAATGTAGTGTCATACGAATATCTCAGCGATTTTCGCCACTATCACAAGCGCAATAGAAAAATATAAGATAGTTGGCAAGATGAAATTACTTTTTTTTATCGGTAATAATAATGCTAAATTTAACTAACTAGTTTTTTCTAAAGAGTAATTTCCTGACAAATGCTGAGTGTGATGACGATAAAAAACGACGATGTGACAAAGCGTAATAATTTTTCATCATACTGCAAAAAGAAAATTTTTCTTCTACTTTATTCCCTGGATTGAAGCGAAGGGAGGGGGGCATATAAAATAAAATGCGTTTGTATATTTGCAGGCACGTGTATGGTCACGCGTCCGCATGTATAGATGTAATTCATAACGTTTGATGACAGGTTATCGGTGTCGCAGAATCCAAATCCGTAATCGGCTTTTTGAAATTTTGAGTTTGATTTTTTTTTCATCAAAGAAAGACTTTTTTTACAAAAAAAATTATTTTTTATGAAGTTTAACCAAAGGTAATTGGGGTCGAGGAATCCGAATCTGTCATTGGTTTTTCGAAAGGATATCGCCGAATAAGATCATAAATCTGCCACCCTCTGAGTTACAATTTCAATACAGTAGAAAGATAGAGCATGAAATTCTGCACATTTCTGTTTATTTATTTATTTATTTATTTTGTTGAAAGAAAAAAAAATTTTGAAGGACTAAATAGTTTTAGAAGTCTACCAGTTTTGGATGTTTTGAATAGTAACCGTGGAAGCCATGATTTTTCTTTTGTAAACTTAATATGAAAATTAATAATATAGATCGACGTGGTTTTTCATGCTCTACAAAATGACACATTAATTATGTTTATCTTCAACTTCTCTCTTAGATTATGTAGGATGACATGGGTACGATAAGTACGATTCTCATATTACGCAGATACTTTTGTAGGGTACTGTTATATTTAAAAAACGAATTGAGAACTAAAAATCTTTTTGATCAAAAAGTGTTCCGTCTCACGTTCTCTAAATATGTATAGTTTTCAGAAAAAACTATTCTCTTCTAAGGCCCATTTTCATCAAAACATTGCAACAACGTGACCATTTCAAGACTATTCTACAGTCAATGTCGACCTTGGATCTTAATCTCATTTCTACCTCAATCCAAAACGAATATCATATTCGGAATCAGCACTAAAAACTACTTTATATGATGTAGGTGTGGGTGTGGATGTGAATGTACGTGTAGCTATGAGTGTGCATTACAGCAATCAAATCGGACATGCTGGAGCCCAATTTGTCGCTGATGTGTTACGAAATGACAAGGTGATTCTCATTTCCTCTTCATCTCTATTTTTCCCTCTATTCACAGACACTCACGGATCTGCATCTCTTCTATGAAAACAATATTTCGTCGTCACTTGAAGAACAACTGCAACGAAAAGACAATCGATTTAAATAACTAATAATTGGTGGCTTTTATTATTACTAACTAACTAATAAACAATTGTTTGTATTCGATCGAAATTTTCGTTCTATTTCTATTAGTGCTCGTGCATGCGAGCGTGGTCAGAGACACATCTGAAATAGGATGGGGTCATGGCTAGGTCGTATCAGAGCCCGATTTTGAAGTTTCTTCTGTTTGCTTTTTAAAAAGCTTTTTCGAAAATTCCTCAAATGCATGAGCAAAAAATTGGTAATTAAGATCAAAGATTTAAGTTTTTTATTTCAGCAAAAGAGAAATTCAAAAATCAGGCTCTGATACGACCTAGTCCTAACTATCTACTATGTAATAAAAAAAACAATTCCATCTTTACATTGAATCGCTGCTGAGAAAGATTTGTCTGAGTAAACGGCGTACTTGAGAAAACTGATTTTGGATAAAACGACAAAAAGTTTTTAATTTATTCCTGTTTCAGCTGACCTCCTGAAAAAACTGACCAGAAAAAGAACCTAAACTTCTTCTTTTGACAAAAAGAAAATTATGGCAGCTTAAAGCCAATTGCAAGGACTATCAGAATATGTATAAACCTCGAAAAACTGACTTTTCTAAAGCAGGAGGTCTTCTTCTCATATTTGGATTACCTAACACGATGATAATAGTCTTTCTGTCGTGTTGTTTCTACCCGAACAGACGAAGATTTGAGAGAACGCGTTCAAACATTCAAAATGGAATCATGACTAAACTCCATTCTTGCTGATTAAAAAATGTATAAAAAGCAAGAAATGCCGAAAAATTGGATGTGAGTGTGCGAGTGAGCGGGTGAAGAGAAGATACCCACACTCACATCCTACATCCGATCACCTACACCTCGCCATCCACATCTATCCGCACCCAAATCCTACTTTTCCATGTAATTTTGTTTCATTCTATGCAACGGAATTTACAGTTTCAACACAAAAATTATGCTATAGTCATTTTCATTTTATTTTTGTATTCATTCATTAATTTTACCATTTTTATCAGACATTTCTAAGAAACATTCTGTTATTAATGGACAGTCAACATCATCACATGATATTCTGCAGTGTAGTATCATTGACGGATCTGTTGTAGCTTCAACATCAAATTTTGACAGGTAATTCAGGTAGATTAATTTTTAGTATTGAGCGAACTGGTTCTCATGATTGACTGTCAGAACATTCAAAATATATATCTGTGTTAAATAATAATCTTCATGTGGTAAATCCTTTTATATAAATTGATATATTCAGCCGGTGTAGGGTGTGGGTGTGGGGTGTGAGTGTGGGTGTGGGTATCGTCTCTTTCCACCCACACCCACCACACCCACACCCGCATTCACACACACCGACACCCACACCCACACCCACACCCACAGCCCACCCACACCCACACCCCACATCGGCATTTTTTCTTCTGTGAGTCCTATGCGAGGATGCTAAAAACGGTTGAGTATGGTAATTTTGTAGAGCAGACAGTCCTCTACAAAACGAAATGTCGAACTCCAATATAGCTTTTATACAAGTAAAATTATAGACATTTTCTGAGAGGCTATTTTTACATGAGATGGATTTTGGTTAAAAAATCGATTTTTCAAAAACGAGGGTAATAAGGAAACGAAAATTTAGATGATTTGTAAGAAAATAAAAAGAAACTGAAATAGCGCATTTTGTAGGGCAGAATTTGCTCTACAATCTGATGTATGAACCAAAGTTACAACATTAAGTTTCGACTTAGAACAGTAAAAATACAAAAATGTACAAAACATATTTTTGTCCAAACTAACTTTCAAAGCAATTCAATGATTTCCTCATTGCTTCCAAACAAAAATAGGCACAGAATTTCTGAACTCATATTCGGAAAGAGCATTAAATTCTGATTCTTGTCCACCTTTTTGCATCCTTCTAGAATACTTTTGAGGTGGTGAAAAATGGACAAACATTTTGTCTCAAAACTTTCGGACCACCCGTTATATCAAATTTGTAAAAGAATAATGTTTAATTTACCAGAAGGAATATAATAATCAATAGTAATACAATTTGAAATAATATCATAAATAATTTGAATATTAAAACCAAAAAATACAAGTTCATCATAAAGAATTTCAACTGGATAATGTATTTCTGTTGATAAACAACCATGATAAAGATAATATGTAATTATATAATTAATAATATCAGGTGTTCGATAAAAATGATATTGTTCTATTGATGAATCATAATATTTTAATCGTTCAAATGGATTACCAAGTAATGTATGATAATATTGATTAAGTTGATGAGCATATATTATAATTGGATTACTTTGAGATGAATCATTAATTTTTACAAGATCTGAATCTTGATTATAATAGTTTTCTTCATACATCATTATTTCATAGATTTGTTTATAATGCGCGAAAAGAAAAAGAAAAAAAAGAAGAAAATCTAAGGTTTCTTTTCCATTTTCATATAATAAAATTGAAAAAAAGAAAAGTTACAAATCAAATATGAGGAAGAGTAGGAGAGGCGCAGTTGTTTTAAGCGCATGTCAAATTCAAGCAACACGTCTTAATAAACTTGAATATCGTCGTTTACAACGTAATGTTACTTTATTACATGATGATTTAGAATCACATATTGCTCGAATACATCGACAAGAACAAGGTTTAAGATATCATTTTACAAATGTTGTTCGAGTTATTAAACCAATTCGAGCATATCAAGCATGGAAACAAGTACATGCACATGAAATAGCACAAGATGAAGCAAAAGAATTAATAGGTTTGTTTATTTATAATTTAATCAAATTTAACTATTTCTTTTCTCAATACATAATAATTGAAATTTTCTTATTTAAAATAAAGATTTAATTTTGATGAATTCATTATTTAAATCAGAATTAGCAATGAAGTTGCAAACAACCAATGCTATTTTCGTCCTGTGACAGATCAAAATAAGCATTGATTGTTAGGATTTCATTGCTAACTTTGAATTTGAACAATCAGAAAAATGAATTTGAATTGTAGAAAGAAAAGTTCATTTGTATCAATGTCACATATGAAAGTTTTGATGACGTAGTCATCGATAGTGATTATTATTTATAAGACATCATAAAATAAAAAAAAAGAAGAACAAAAAAAATAAATAAATAAATAAACTTTAGTTAATTTCAAATTGTATGTTATTACTAACGCAGAGAATTTTCTGAAGCTTTTACTCGCCATAGCATTTTCAGAATAGGCATTGATGAAACAACCATTGGAATAGAATATTGTACACAGTAGATAACAACGTGAATTTGAATCGTAGTTTATATACTTGGATTAACAACTAAAAGAAAATTTTGTCTCAGTTGCTAAATTCATTGAAAAAACTTTGTCGTAAAAAATACAAAGAATTGGACAATAAATCTGAAACTAGGACTTCTGCTCTATCGAGTTATAAGAAAAGTTTTCGTTCTGAAAAAATAATGAGTATTTTTTTTTCGAAAAGATATCCTCAGCAAAAGTTGACTATCACTAATCTGATATCGACGAAAGTTTCAGACAATGTTCTTCTATATCTCGGACATATGTACAGTTAGCGCAAAGATGTACAAATGTTCTAAAAGTTTTTCGCAATTTCTTTGTCACAGAAGCACTTCGAGAGAAAAGTAAAGACATATTTAGCATCGGCTGATGTACTATTTGCCACTTTTTTGAAATAAAAAATTTTTTCATAGGAGTTTAGAATAAGGATCCATCTTAGGGATTTTTCATTGCAAATGATCTGTCTTATTTTTGCAGTACAAGAAGCTAATACTTAGGGAGATCCAAAAGTAGTGGCGCCATTACCAAATTTCTTTATGGAAATGTTGAAAAAATTTTCTTTCTCTATGAAAAGATAGAGCGTCTTTCGCTCTATTTTTCTATGCTATTTGATCACTATTCAAGTGATATCATAATAATAAAACTTCGGTAAAAACTGTTTTTTGTTGAAAACTAGCTGGTGTCATTTGGATCATGATGGATGTGGCATAAAAGAATGGGGCACTTTTGCTTTTCATTTTATTATCATTTAATAGGTTGTATTTAAAAAAAACGAAATATACCATAAGATACAGCATGAAAAGCTCTACAATTCGTAAAGGACGGCTTATTTTATAGTTGCTCTTTTTATTATCAAAATGGAAGAAAGTCTGAGCGACCGAATTTTGACGTTGCAAAAACGAGATTGTTCTTTGGTAAAAGACGCATTCTTTTTTTTCTTCTATCGCATCTTTTCATAATGATTCTTTGTAAATTGTAGAGCCTTTCACGCTGCGTCTTGTAGTGTGTTTTGTTTTTTATTAATACAATAGATATGATAATAAAAAGATGTGATAAGAAAAAACGATTTCGTCTGTTACCAAAAAAAAGGCATCTCGTCTTCGTAATGTCGAAATTTTGTCGCTCAGAATTTCGTCCATTTTGACAATAAAAAGAGCAACTATAAAATAAGCCGTTCTTTACGAATTGTAGAGCTTTCCACTCTGCATCTTATGGTATATTTCGTTTTTTTTAATACAACCTATTAAATGATAATAAAATGAAATACAAAAATGTTTCATCCATTATGATCGAATGCCACCCACTAGTTTTCAACAAAAAACAGTTTTTACCGAAATTTTATTATTATGATATCACTTGAATAGTAATCAAATAGCATAGAAAAATAGAGTGAAAGACGCTCTATCTTTTCATAAAGGAAGAAAATTTGGTAATGGCGCTACTACTTTTGGATACCTCTAAGTATTTCTATTAGAAAAATAAGTCATGTTTACATGCTCGATAGAAATTTGCACTGCACGTTCGATATTAGACAACCATTATAGATCACTATCAGTGTTATCTTTATGTATAAAGTTTTAATTTTAATTTAATATTTTATAGAATCAATTAAACTTAGACAAAAAAAAATAAAACCCATACTTCGTAAACAAACAACATCATCATCATCATTATCAAATGAAATTTCATCTAAACCACTTCGTCCATTACTTTTATTATTAGAAAATGAACGTGAAAAACCTTCTGATCCTGTTATTAATCTTAATGAAAATTTATTTCGTCCAAAAACATCACCAATTAATAAACAATTAACTAGTTCACATCGAATTAATCCATTATTAAATATGCTTGATGGACGTCCAACTAGTTCAAATAATATGATACGACAACAAATACAACAACAATCATTTGATACATCTTCATTTTATTCATTTTCATCAATGGGAACATCAAATCCACGAAAATTAATTCAAGGCAAATTTGTTACAACACATAAAGAATCTGATCTTGATGCTCTTTATCGAATGGCTTTACAAAATCAAACAGCTTATAAATCTGTCGAACAGAAACGTATTGAAGAACGCAAATTATATGATAAAGAATTTGCTTCACAATATCGAGCTCTCAAGGGTAGCATGCGATCGGTTGGTTTTACTAATAAAATTAATTAACTTAATTTTTCTTGTAGATAATTATGTTTTTCTTTTTTGTGATACAAACTATAGAAAAAATAAATAAAAATCTGCTTTTAATTAACTTCATAATAAAAGTAGCGAAAGTGAAATAAATCTTAGAATTAATTATATTTTTTTTTTCCTAACGTTATTATTGGAATACAGTGGTCGCAAGAAGTCCCACTACCGGGTAAAAAGTATAGAAACTTCAAACCTTTTGTCTGATATTTTCATTATAAACAGAGCTCAGTAAACTCTGACTGCAAGCAGCAACTCGAGATCGATTCATTGGAGAAAATTTCAAAGCAAAATGGTTAAAATTAGCCAAAGATATCGGTTACTTTTCGATCAAGGCAAATTGCCATGGAAGTTTTATTGGTGATAGAGACAGCACTGAGCTATTGAATGAGAACTCTAACGTCATCAAATTTGTTTTCTATAGTGAGATATCCTTATCTGAAAAAAAATTTGTGGTCAAATTATGAGATTAAAGTTTAGATACTTAGCAAGACTTTTTTGGACTACTGTATTATTATCTAATTTACATCACACTTCAAATTCAATCAACACCTACAGCTATTCATGATATTACATTAAACTTGTGTTAAAGAATGAGTACTCTATGTTATATTGTAATGAATGAAAAAATTTTTTAAACTAATTTTTGTGAACACAGACAAAATTATGCGTGAGCAAATGTGGAAAAAAAAAGTTGATCAATGCCAGTAAAAATTAGCAGATCGAAAAATTTAATTAGATCAGATGATTCTGTTTCAGTTTTTTTATGTGACAGTTAAATAATCCTATAGTTATTTTCTTTTTTGTAGAATAATTTTCTCATTAGCACAATTAGATTCACGAAAATTCTGACTTTTGGACTTGTAAACATCCAAATCAAGTGTAAATTCATATAATTTTACAATCTTTTTTTAACAGAAACTGCTGCTACTGTGCTGTCATGGATAGTCAACTTAAAATTTAAATAAAACTTTATCATTGTATTATTAGAGATGAAAGAAAATTCATGTAGAATCAAGTTTAACAAATATTATTTTATTTTTTTGTCAATACAATAAACAAAAACTTAAATATAGAAGATATTGTATTGATAATAAAAATAAATCACGTATACCCTAACGGAAGGATATGCGCAGATGAGAAAAATTACTTCATAATTTAATGCCATACATACACTCACATATATTAAAGGAATGCAAAAAAAAATGTCTATACACCCACCTACTCATATCCAACAATTGACAGAAACATCGGTTTATCTATCGATAGGATGACAGAAGAAAATTGATTGATGACATATTTTGTTCCTTTAAATCATTGTGTATTTGACAGCTGAATAACATCAAAAACAGTAGATGACAAGTCTGTAACCATTGATATTTTGATCATATAACTAATAAGATCAATATAAATTGTTGCATATTATTTGATAAAAACTAAACATATCTTTACAATTTTGTTCTTATGATTATATTTCGTCAAATATTATAAATAACAAACTGAAGAATATTAATTAGAATGATGATATAGGTTTTCTCGTTATTTGTTTTTTTTTTTTGTTAAAAATAGTATCAAATAATCCTATTATTTTCTACAAAACTTATTCGTGCGCTCTTTTAAGATTGAACGTAGGCATGCTTTTTCTTCTATTATCGAACAAGAATCTCGCATATATTAGAGTAGCTTGCTATTAACACAATATAATGATTTTCTTCTTGGCCAGTACGGTTTTTCTTTTGGTAAATAGATTAATATAAACATATTATTACCATATGCAAATTTGTTTTTTGATAAGTTTACTTGTTTAACTTCTCTATTTATTTATAGATATTCATAATTCTTTCTCACTTTTTCTTTTTGTTAACTACGTGCATGCAAGAAATATCTGCTTCTTCTCTTTTTTTCTCGTCATTTGACATTTAATTGTATTCAACAATAGAAAAAGAAAAGACTCCATAATGAATATAACAATATTAATAAATATTCAAAATGGACCATCTGAATGGTTTCGTATATTTCTTATTATACTTTTTATAATTATTCTTATGATTGGTCTAATTGGTAATAGTCTTGTTTTATTATCAACTATAACAAATCATATAGAAATTCGTTGTTCATCAACAAATCTTCTGCTTGTAAATATGTCATGTGCAGATTTAATTATAATTATTTTTAATATATTTGATATCGTACAATTTTCATTTGATCATTTTTGGCCTACGGCTTGGTATTTTGGTTTATCATTTTGTAAAATAGTTCGTTTTGCACAAGTATTTGGTTGTTATGTTAGTGTACAAACATTACTTATTATTAGTATTGAAAGGTATAAAAATCTTTCTATAAATATATGTTGTGGTCAAAATTAAAATTTGTCTGGTCAAAATTGAAATTTTTTTTGACGAACAGAAGAAATTAAAAAAAAAGAGAAAGTTAACATACTAACCAATTTATTTTTATTTTACAATAGTTTTAAACAAATATTTTATGAATTTTAAATTAATTTTGTTCATGCTTAAGCATTCACTCCTCTTTGAATGATATTTGGTACAGCAGAAAAGGTTTTTTTTCATGAGGCATGTCTTCGCCGCACATTTGTCTCAAAAATTACAATTATGTTCGGCTGTGGAACCACAACAATAAAGCTTTGAAGCCGTGTATCATTTTTGGAAAAATTGAAAAAAATAATGTTGTTATGAAAATTAATTTGTCAATATGAGGCTTGAGAACATACATTTGTAGGCAAACCATTCCTGAATTTAAAAGTTGCTTATTCCAATGAATTTAAATATAGCAATGTTAATAATCTAAAACTAGTTATCATTATCGAAGCTTGAAAGCTTTACTCTCGTGGTCCCACACCCGAACATACTTGTAATTTTTGAGACAAAAGTGAGACGAAGATATGCCCATCAAAAAAAAATCTCTTCTGCTCGACCAAATGTTATTCAAAAAAAGGAGTGGATGCTCAAACATCCCAGAAAAATGATTCCGACAATCGAATCCTAGAGGATTCCTCTTGGATCCGACCAGATTATATTGAAATTTCTATAAGATCGACGAAATCCTATGGGAATCTGGATTACTGAATGACATTCGGATTCCGAGTATTGAATCTGATCGGATCGTACTATTGGAATCCGATTGAATCCCAGCATACGACTCTGACCGACCTCTACTATTGGGATAAGATACTAATTAGTACTCAACTAATAGAATAGGACTCGCCCGTTGGATCCGTTACTGATTTCGTAACCCGGATTCCTATAGGATTTTGTTGGCTGGCCGGATTCGGTATCGGACTCATTCACCTGGGATAGACTAAATTAATTTAGAATTCATAAAATATTTGTTTAAAACTGTTGTAAAATAAAAACAAATTGGTTAATATGTTAGCTTTCTCTTTTGTATTAATTTCTTCTGTTCATCAAAAAAAAATTCAATTTTGTCTAGTCAAAATAGAAATTTTAATTTTGACCACAACATATATATATTTATATTTAATATTATTATTATTTGTTTTTTTAGATATATTTCAATAATTTATCCAATTACAATATCTCAAATAAATTATCGTAAACGTCTTTGTTTAATATTTATTTTAATTTGGTCTCTTGGATTTATTATGGCTTTACCAAATCTTTATTTACTTGAATTACATCCATTTTATAATCGTCCACAATATTATATATGTGGTTTATCTGATCATTGGACTGATTCACATTTAATTACATTTTATAAATATACAGAATCGGTACTTTTCTTCTTTCTACCAGCTCTTATACAAGTAAGTTTATCATTTTATAGCAAAATAACTATTTTTTGGTAAATACTTGAATTGAAAATCTATATTTTGATTCAATAAATTGTTTTTGAGTTCAACGAGTATTTTTTTTGTACTTACATATTTTAAAATCTCTGTTTCTTATCAATAAGAGATCTGTTTTTTGTTATCAGTATATAAAAATGCGAGCGGAGACAAGTTCCGAGTATTCTTTTTTTTTCTTATTTTTATATCATTATTTAATGTTTTAAGTTATATTTAGAAGTAATAGCACTTGAAATTAATTAGAATTTGATAGACAATATATTTTGTTGAATCTATAGACAGTTTAGAAAATATTTCCTTGCATAGGATATGCAACTGTCTGACACCGTTCGATTTCGTATTATGGTTACGAGTAGGTTCCGATGAGACTAAGAGAAGTTTGAAAGGATTTGGATCTATGGCCTATTGATAAAAAGTTATGACCGTTTGAAATGAAATTTTTACATTTTCGAAAAATTCAAAACACGAAGTTTCGACCTAAAGTTTTGCCTATAGACACATTTGATAGTCATTATATAGTCTGGAAAGTTTCAACAAAAACGATCATGTCTTTCTCGAGATATTCAATATCCAAAAAAGCAGTCATTTTTGTGGAAACTTTCAGGTCGAAAGTCTTTCTTTTTAGATTTTTCGGAAATGCCTTGTTCTCAGTAAAAATTTCATTTAAGCGACCATAACTCTTTACCAGTAGGCCATGAGTCTGAATTATTTTAAGCTTGTGTTATGAGAGAACATCATCAACTGATACCTTCCATTTGAGCTCATGAGCAAGACTCATAGAATAGAGAAGAAGCTCAAAATGATTTTTTCCATTGGCATGAGCTGATTTGTTTTTTGAAACTCATATTACGAGTGTGAGTGAAGACAAGAATCTAAACTACGCACCCACACTCACAAAATGTGTCACGTGCAGAAGAAATAATTACTTTCATAACTTCCACTTGCATTTTTACTTATTCTTTCGTATATCTATTATAGCCAACGAACACACGAATGACATAGAGATAAAAACATCCTGAGTAAGCTGTCATTTTCGATCAGAGATGTGACAAAAATGCTACCAAAAATAATTGAAGAAGTAATTGAACGAATAGTTCTTCTTTCTATAATATTCAACCGTGCGTAATATGAGTTTTTAAAAAGAAAATCAGCTGATGGGGAAATATTCTTTAATTGAGATATAAAAATCTTTCTTTTCTGACATAAAATACAGTAATGTCATTTTTAGAGAAATTTGTTTCTCTAGAACACAATGACACTGGAATTAGTAATAATGACTATCCTATTTGATGAGATCTAGAGTAATTTTCAAAGACTTAACCATAAGTAATGTTTTATGAATGATAATTAAAATAATATTTTTGCTTTAAATCTATTATAGACTATTCTTTATTTAATTATTTGTCGTAAAATTTTTTTGATTGATCGTACTATACAAGCTCATTGTCATGTTCAATCAGTACAACAAATAATGATAAGTAATTCTTTTCATCGATGTTCAGATACAAAATTAAGCTGTTCATTACCATTACCTTTAATGAACAATAATAATAATAAAAAAAGTTTATCACCAACAATATCACCATGTCCTCAAGGTCATATAATACAATCACGAGCTAATAATGCGAATATAGCACGTAAAAAAGCTATTATTATGTTATTAATTGTTGCTATACTTTATTTTATTGCATTTTCACCAATACAAATTAATTTTATTCATACACAAATAAATCATTCACATCATCTTTATGAACATCGTCTTTTTTTTATTATAACAATTCTTTTAGCATTATCATCAACAGCTTTTAATCCAATTTTATTTTATATATTTAGTAAATATTTTCGATATAAATTTAAAATTCTTTTACGTCATATATGTCCATTATGTCGTTCATCAATAAAACATCAAAATAATTTTCCAACGGTATAAATAACTTTTTTCTTTTGTTTCAATCAATTAAAAGAAAAATTAATGGATAACATTTGAATTAAAATGTTTCGAAAAATTTTGAACAGTAATGACAAATTTTTGAATAATGTAGTAATAATCGTATGATATCATTTTTCTATTCACTATACTTTTTTTTTTCGATAATAAATATAAGAAATGATTCAATTTGAATTCTAATTTCCTACTGTTAAAAGTATACAATTGACGAACACTCATAGATATGCACTGAACCTAAACCCTGATTCGGTGGGGTGTGAGTATGGGTTAAGAAAACACATACTCTAAACTACAATATCTCCGATACCTTGTGCTCACTTCCCTAAAAAGAAAGGGAAATAACTAATTATTGCTGAACATTGTAAAACACATGCCAGAAACAGCATGCGAATGTGTCTTCCCTTCACTGATCATTCAGCGTAAATACGCGTTACTGCCTTTTATGAGGTGATAGAATTCTGTATTATCATTAGCTACATCCATCGTACTAACGTAATTCTTATAATACTGTGGTAAAATACTAATTCTTCTATTATAAATTTTGCTTATTTCAAAAGTATACATAATGTCTTCATGGGAAGTTGCTGTTCATTTTATTCACTTGTCTCTGCAAGAATAAACATTGAACATAAAGCAAATATGAACGAGTTTTGTGGAGATTTAAATGGTTTTATCTAAGAGATTGAATTTCTTCGATAGTGGCGTTATCTGATATTTTATGAAGTTGTTGACGAGTTTAAATTTAAACTGATGATTTTCGAAACGATTTTATGATGTTATTTTAAATACCTGTAATCACAATCTGAGAAATAAGTATTCGTGATTCCTGACTAACTCTGTTATATTAAGTTAATGTTTTTCAAACATTTTCAAGTTATTTTATCAGTAAGTTTATATGTTTAATATTTGTAGATTTATTAAAATGAATTGCAACAACTTCTAGTTGATTACTACACATTGGAACATACCATCAGGAATCCACAAATATATTTATAATTTTTTGAATATGTATATAGTAATATTCCTTAGGAAGAGCAAAATAATTCTTCAAATAATATTGATGTTTCTCATTACACAAATGCTGATATCATTCCAATAATATTTTCTTCTGTGTGAACAAATATCGACATTATTTGAATGATTATTTTGTTCTTCATGACACGCCTTACTATATACATAATCGAAAAACTTATCATCATGGATTAATTCTTGATGATTAGATACCAATGTGTGATAATCAACAAGAAATCCTTGCAATTGATTTTGATAAATCTTCAAATATTCAGTAGTGTCAAACTCGAAAGTTGAATTCAAGTATTCAACTATTAGTTCAACTATTCAACTATTCAAGTATTCAAGTACTCAATTAGTTAACGGCTGGAATGTCACTAGAATCATCTAATATCGGCAGGTATTGTCTGCGAGACTACAAGCATCCCCTATGATGCTGCAAGCATTCCATAGGATGCTACAAGTATCACCTGGAATGATACAAGCATCCCCTGGCATGCTACAAACATTTCCTAGGATATTACAACTTTGGGTTGAGATGCTGCAGACACTATCTGGGATGCTACAAGAAGTATGTGAGAAGCTTCAGCTAATGTGCAGCACTGAGTAAGAATAATGGTGTACACAGAGACGTACATGGATCGCGGCGTGGGGCACTCTAAGTTAAAATGTGTCGGATGTGTCGTGATTTACGACACATTCAAGCACGACACGAGGTGCTCGTTGCGATACATTTTCTCCAGCAAGCGTACGACACATTATCCCACGACACCTCCGACACATTCTGAAATCATGGTTCGAGTCTAGGTTTCACCGTATCTATATATTTTTTTCTTTCATGCACTATATCCATCAATATTTAATTAGTACAATTAACATCAATGTTTGATGCAATACTATAAAACAGCCAGACTTTGAGATCCAGCCATGTAAGGCTAGTCAGATCTTGGTCAGACTACTGCCAGGTAGACCTCTCCTAAAGCGAGGTCATTATTTATCGAAATATTTACGAGAAATATATTATATGAAATGGTGCACGAAAACTAGTGATTCTCATGTGATGGTTCAGATCCATTATATATAAATAAACACGCGAAACAATATGGTGAATGAACAGTCGTCATGTATGTACAGAACGGTTAAAAATGTGACACGATAAAGTGCGACATATTTTCTTGCTGGTACCCGCGACACTATAATTCACGACGGAAAAAGTCGACACATTTTAACTTATAGTGGGGCGCGAAGCACCTCAACGCCGCGACGCTGAAATAAAAGGTATGTTAGGTGGTGAACGCTCTTCCCCACTGAATATTCACAGAACACTTGAGAAGTTAAAATTTGAATAGTTGAATAGTTGAATAGTTGAATACCTGAATAGTTGAATACCTGAATACCTGAATAGTTAAATACTTGAATACTTGAATAGTTGAATACTTGAATACTTGAATACTTGAATAGTTGAATACTTGAATAGTCGAATACTTGAATAGTTGAATACTTGAATAGTTGAATACTTGAATACTTGAATACTTGAATACTTGAATAGTTGAATACTTGAATACTTGAATAGCTGAATACTTGAATTCAAGTTTCAAGTATTACATATATGCTCCACTACGAAAAGAAATGGTTCTGAGTGATATGGCACACAAAAAACGCGAACAGGAACGAATCAATCTTGATGTCGAGAAATAATACGTAGAACTGCCCAGTGGCCCAAAACCACCAGTTTACGATGGACAAAAAGTGAACTGAACTTCTGCGCCGATACATATTACCCTACTAAATTCATCTCCAACAGACTTTGCCTGTGGTGCTCAAACATGATGATAAACGTGACTTGAGACACATATTGTGAATCATTCTTATCATCTTTAACTTTCACTCTGTTTTAAGCCTGAAAAATGTTACACAGATAACGCTGCTACCTAGATGACACACAGAATCTAACATTAGAGCTGATTTTGCAAAATAATATTTACACAACGTATGTGATGATGCGACTTTCACACTCACCCGATGAGTAATCATGAAAATAGATAAGAGATTTTCATATCAGTCCATGATGCAAGGCAGCATTACTCATTCAAGCAAACTCTCAGCAACCCAACTCGTGAAAAAAGTGAAAAAAGAACGAAAGCCCATTGGTTAATTTTTCCATAGCATCATAAAAACAAATATTTTTGAAATCATCCATTTATTTTTATACTGCATCTTTGCCAGTATATAAACGCAAACGTCGACATTATTGTACAACTAAAACATACGCACACATCATGTGGTTTTCTTTTCTTTCTTTTGCCATTTTATCGATAGGTCTTGTACAGCATCTCGATGCTATTAGCAGTCCCATTCCACCATACACCAATTACACCTATGCCACGGAACTACAACCCAATCTTGCTGATCTCTGGTGGTCGATCGACGATCTTCGAAAGGAGATCACTTTTGAATTTCACATCAATACAACTGGCTGGATTGCACTTGGTATAAGTCCAGGTATGATCACCTACATTCTCACCCTGATCTCTCTCATCTCTCATACATAGCTGGTGGTATGGTTGGTGCTGATATCGGCTTGGGATGGATCGATCAATCGGGTCAACTGCATTTTGAAGTAGGCATTCTTCTTCTTTCATTCTCTTATTCATCACTTGATCTATAGGATCGATATGCATACGGCTTTTATCAACCGATGGTGGATAATACGACACAAGATTGGTTTGGACTGCAAGGTCGCGAAGTGAACGGATGGACAGCCATTCAATTCAAACGACTCTTAGATACCTGTGATGTTATGGATTATCCAATTAAAGTATGCCTTTTTTAATATATGTCGAAGATAAAATTTGTATTGTATAGTCCGGAACTAACATTGTGATCTATGCCTACAGTCTCGAAGATCCTGTTATAATTGATGGAAAAGCGACGATCAAGTATCATGGCGATCGTCGATATACTCGAGCGATTCCATTACAATCATATGCAAATCCACCATCAGAGAGCAAATTCACTGGCCTCGACTATTTCGATTTTCAACTACACAATGTAAGTCATATCATTTGCCCTGAAGGCGATCGTAGCAATATTTCGCATTGACGTTTTTCAGTATTCAGTACCATCGAACGAGACGACCTATCACTGTACAGTCTACAAAGTGCCGGCTAAATTTCCTAAACGAAGACATGCCATTGCTGTAAGAAAGATCGATCCTTTCATCTCACTCGATGTCTAAATCGTGTTGTATCTTAGCATAAAGCCATCATTGATCCAGCCAATATCGATATTGTTCATCATATGTTGATGTATGAATGTGATCCATCAGCTGTCTTCGATGATGAGAATTTGCCCTCTGGTATATGTGATGACCTTGGCGAAGTTCTTATGCCTTGCACATCGAGAATCGCCACCGGGTGGGCTGTTGGTGGAGATTATGTCAGTTTCGAATCGAAAGAAAATATTTCTTAGTGAAACAAAGAATGTTCTTTTGATAATAGATCAATGAATTTCCTGAAGTGGCTGGATATCCTGTTGGAGGTGATTTTGAAATTCAATATTATGTAATTCAAATGCACTTTAACAACATACATCAAATGTCAAGTAAAGCAATGGATCTAATTGAGATTGAAAAAAATAAGATTGTCTTATGAATTAGATCGCACGGATAGTTCTGGTATGCGATTCTATCTCGGCAATGAACTTCGCCAGTATGATATCGGTTATATGACATTGGGTCAAATTTCAGGCGCCACTGCTATTGCCATTCCACCATATGATGATCGTTTAGTCATCGATTCTTATTGTCCTGCTCTGGCCATGCAAGTGAGTAATTTATGATGTGATTCAACTCAATTTGATTCCTCCTATGGATAGAATATTCCACCGACGGGAATTACCGTGGTTGCAGCATTTCCACACACTCATCTTCAAGGTACCTGAAAATGGGTAATTCTTTTACAAGAGATAACATTCTCGCTTCTAGGACGCAGTGTCTGGACAAAGATCATTCGAAATAAGAAAGCAGTTCAATATCTGTTCAATGGTGATGCCTATACTTTCAATTATCAATTCCAAAATCGTTTACCTCAACCTATTACATTGTATCCGGTTTGTATTATCTAATCTTGTCTCAGTCATTCGACAATGAAGATAATTTTAGGGCGATGAATTAGCAACGCGATGTATTTACAGTACAACTAACAAGAGTGTCGTTACTTTGGTGAGTGATTGTTCATGAAATTTGCAAAAGCTAGGCACAATAATAATCTAGGGTGGAGAAGCAACGAGCGACGAAATGTGTTTACACATGTTTACTTACTATCCACGTATGAATAATTTGCACTTTTGTTGGATGGCCAATTCGATGGAAGCATGGGGACGAGTGACAAATGATTCAATGTCAGTGAAGCTTTCGTTTATCTGTCTGAATGATATGTTTCTGTTTTGTAGACCTTTGGATTACAATAGCATTGTCAAATGGTTAACAGATCGTCAATGGACAAGACAATCCATTGCTGATTGGCAAACTTTCTACAATTCGACTTCGAAACTTCTTATTTATGATAATGGTGGTAACATAGACTTTGCTGATCTTCCGAAACTACCAGACTATGAAGATTTCGAACCATATCAATGCAAAAAGAACACCACTGATGTTGATACAGCTTTGAGACCGTCTAAACTTCGCTCACTGCTCAAAAGGATGGAAATAACTTCATGATTTAAATAAAACAGGACTAGCTGTCAAACATTGAAAAGTGTGCTGTATGCAAAATAATTCTGTTTTCCTATTCGTATTTCTGTCTAACGCGCCGGAGAAAAGGCAGCACTCGATCGGCAATGAAAAACATCGCATTTGAGATCGTAAAATTACCCTCTGATGATCATAGTGAATCATGATGATCTACCAAATACACCCACGAGAAGAGTTTATATAGGCACTAATGTCATCTAGAGTAAATCACCACTATCCTAAAAGGTTCGCTATGATCTCACCATTTCTAAATTGTGAAGATGACGGTGCGAACTTGCCCGTTATTCCGTTTTACACTTCTTTATAACCTTTCATAGCACACCTCTAGACTAGAGTGTGGGTGTGGGTGTGAGTATGAGTGGGTGTATGGATATAGGTGAAGATGTGACTATGGCTGCTTGTCTTCCCTTTATCCATATGCACACATCCACACCCAAATCACAATTTACGTTCATATCTTCTTAGGATTTTTTTAATCTAGAGGTATCCTGGTTATATATCAAATTTCAGCTCAAAAGTAGCTTACCACGTGAGGATGTTCTCTTGTTTGATAAAATTGCAAAAAAAACAGACGTAACGGTGTTACGCAGTTATTTTTCGACCAAGTTGAAGACACATTAAGTGGTTAGAAATATTTAATTTTTCGTTAATATTGATCTTTTCTATATATCTAATCATTCTATGCAACACTCAAGCTTCTATATTCATATATGTATCTAATTAACTGTACAACAATGTATAAGTTGTGTTCTATGACGTAAATGAAAAACAAATAGACTGTCTTGTAGAAAGTTAAATTCTGCATCGGATGATATATGTCATTCAGCATGTTAAAGAATAATTAGTTCAAAAATTTAAAATAAGTGTTTTGAGAAATATAAAACCTAATTTTCGACCCTGGAATTCAGGTTTTGCATTTTGAAACAAATGTCAAGATCGTTATTACCGTTTAAGATTGCTTCTAATAATGCATCTACTTAGGGCAATCCAAAAGTAGTCACAGTAATACTTTTATTTCTTATAAAAAGTTTAAAGCGACTTCCTCTGTATATAGTCTGATAAAGAAAAGAATGCTCTATTTTTCTATGCTATTTGATCATACTTTAACTAATATCACAATAATAAGATTTTGATAAGATATATTTTGTTTGCATGTGGCATAGTTACATGATCTGCTATTGGGTATTCTTTGAATAACTTTTGATAGATACATCATCGAAAAGTGCGGTGTTCACCGCTCGAATTGTGATTCAATTTTCTAACTGTTGCAAAAATGTTTTTCTTACGATAAAAGGAAAAAAGCGTAAAAGTGAGCGTTTTTCACAGACTTTGCTGGAAAATTGTATTAGAGACTCAACTACACTTCATCTTATGCATCTCAATCTTCCACACTTTGTAGATCTTCGATCAGTGGTTTGAATTTATACTTGATAACTAAAAATTCGCTCTAAACAACTCACTACACAGGTTTATTCTTAAAAAGGTCGATTGACACCCTTCATCTACTCTCTCGAATGGTGAAAACCACAGGGATTTATCTTGTTTTTATCAAAAGTCATTGACAAAACACTCACTCGTGTGTTTTAATATGCGTATCATTATAATCAGCACATAAGATCACAACACAACCAATGATAGTTTTCTTTGTTTTGGTGATATCGGGAGTCTAATTTTTTCAGCTTCAGTTGATGTCATTTGTGCTCCACTATTGATTATTTTTTTTCAATACTACATTTTTAGTATGCAAAGGATCAATAATTCTGTCAATCAAGTTTTATGAAAAGGCGTTATGCTCACAAAATAAAGTTTTCCTTACTGAAATATTTCCCTTGGAATCATGAACAGAACAAATCTAATGCTTATATAAGCTTCTATGTAGTTGTTAACCGCTGTTATTACCGAATTAAATGGCGTTTGACACCGACTTTTTTATTATTATTATTGGATTCGTAAGATTATTCGAGAATTCTGCTAATTAAATCTCGTTCAAAAAAATCACCTGCGTTAGTTTAGATGGTTTACAATACAACCATATTTATAAAAGAAGTTCAATTGTGAAAAAAATATGCGAGACAGAACTCTTTCAAGCATATGAAACCATTTTTTATTCGACATCATTTCTT